GTGGTGGTGGTGGTGGTGTAATAATATCTTTAACTTGTAATGTACTTTTCAATCCTGTGTTGACAAGTTTCTCAAAACGCCACACTAGTCTTTATTCATTTATTCCACACAGTGTGTCACAGCTGGGTTGGAGGATGCCAGGCTACTAATCTGTGCTATTGGCCACCACCAAGCAGTCTCTCACTATGTCCACACATGTGGGTGAAGTGCATTGCTCAAGAACATACCAGACTGCACTTGGGGCAGCCAGGATTTGAGCCACCAACCATAGGCCCCTTTTATAAATGAATGTACACATTAGACATAAGCACTGGCATTATTTGACTCATTCACTTTTGTCCTGAGCTGCTTCAAATCCCTATTGATTGATAGTCTGAAGTAATGGCAGCTTTTGTAGGCAAATTTACTACTTTGATATTTACAAAATTCGTCCATTTTCCCCCAATAAATAATATTGACAATGACATGCGCCATAAAATTCATTATTGCGCATAAATTCATTGGGCATAGATAGTACTCACTACTACTCATACCCGTATTATAATAGATCCATGCTCATACACGCGGAGTGGGCGTGTCGAGTAGTGACGTCACTACCCGACACGCCCACTACTCGACACGCCTCCGTACTGCAGGCCGCAGACAGATACACTTGAAAAAGTCTTAAAACTCTTAAATCGATCTAATCCCAAATTAAGACACATGTTTTGCCTAATTTCAGCATTTTTAGACTATTTTCTCATCACTTTTCACTCTATGTTCTGCTCTGGCCCTCACAGAACGCTCCGGGTCGAATCTCTCCGATCTGTGACATCATAGCTAGACCCCGCCCCCTTGTCAATCAGCACAAACCACAAAAACAACCCAATATTATTAAAAAAATGACTTTATGCCAAGTGAGAATACGGACTTTGTGGACACATTCGTAACAGCGCAGCCGTACAGAGAACCGTCAATAATGATCTTTAGAAAGAAACACAATCCTAGAAGAAGAACACAACCCAAGGATCCTGTCGCACAAACCCAACATGAGAACAAGGCTTTCCTGGTTATCAGCCAGAAAATGGAGTAAAAATATATATCAAAAACTCCCAGACATTTCCCTTTAATCTGCATCGTAGAGAGGAGGAGGAGACTTTGTTTTAAAATGACGTATATTCAAAGTGGTAACCATGGAAACGGTGAGATCCTTCCATTCAGTCGTCAAAAAACAGCATATAAAAATATACAGCAATGCAGAGGTTTGAACCGGGCCACGCGGGAAAAGGTGAGATTATGAGCCTTTGAAAGTGAAAGTAAAAGTATAACACGGCTCAGTGCTTTTGTACCTGTGCTAAAAGTTTATTTCATACAATTTATACAAAATAAAAACTGAAATATTAAATGAGATTCGAACTGAACTCATTTGAAACTAAATCTGATATTTGATGTTTTTTGATGTTAAGAGAGACCAGAGAGAGACCAGAGAGAGAGACCAGAGAGAGAGACCAGAGAGAGAGACCAGAGAGAGAGACCAGAGAGAGAGACCAGAGAGAGAGAGAGAGAGACCAGAGAGAGACCAGAGAGAGAGACCAGAGAGAGACCAGAGAGAGAGACCAGAGAGAGACCAGAGAGAGACCAGAGAGAGAGACCAGAGAGAGACCAGAGAGAGAGACCAGAGAGAGACCAGAGAGAGAGACCAGAGAGACCAGAAGAGAGAGACCGAGAGAGAGACCAGAGAGAGACCAGAGAGAGACCAGAGAGACCAGCGAGAGACCAGAGAGAGACCAGAGAGACCAAAGTGAGAGACCAGAGAGAGTGAGACCAAAGTGAGACCAGAGAGAGGGCCAGAGAGAGAGAGACCAGAGAGAGACCAGAGAGAGACCAGAGAGAGACCAGAGAGAGACCACTGTGTCTGTTTGATTTTCTGATCCGTGTCGACGAATCGACAACTTGGTAAAGTCCTTTGACGAGGCTAAAAACATAGAATAGAATTGTTGTGATGAAAAACAGTTAAACATTATTTATTAGAAACTTAAAGCTGCTGAACCTAAAGTTTTGTTTCGAGACTGAAATGTTGTTTGTCGCGATAGAAAAAGTGTGAGAAATGTGTTTATTGTGGATAAATCCGACGTCATCTCCCCCAGGTCATTGTGCTGACGTGATCCAACAGTCCCTGTGAGTCACTATTTGACCCTTTGGGCTCAGACAGAAATAAGAATTAGATTTTTACATGAGCTTTGAAAATAGAGACCACTTTAAGTCTCGCACACCAAATGTTAGTGCTATAAGAACCAAGTGGAACTCTGAGGAGCACAGGGACTGGCCTCCTGCTAAGACTGAGGAGCACAGGGACTGGCCTCCTGCTGGGACTCTGAGGAGCACAGGGACTGGCCTCCTGCTAAGACTGAGGAGCACAGGGACTGGCCTCCTGCTAAGACTGAGGAGCACAGGGACTGGCCTCCTGCTGGGACTCTGAGGAGCACAGGGACTGGCCTCCTGCTGTGACTCTGAGGAGCACAGGGACTGGCCTCCTGCTTGGGACTCTGAGGAGCACAGGGACTGGCCTCCTGCTAAGACTCTGAGGAGCACAGGGACTGGCCTCCTGCTAAGACTCTGAGGAGCACAGGGACTGGCCTCCTGCTAAGACTCTGAGGAGCACAGGGACTGGCCTCCTGCTAAGACTCTGAGGAGCACAGGGACTGGCCTCCTGCTGGGACTGAGGAGCACAGGGACTGGCCTCCTGCTGGGACTCTGAGGAGCACAGGGACTGGCCTCCTGCTGGGACTGAGGAGCACAGGGACTGGCCTCCTGCTAAGACTCTGAGGAGCACAGGGACTGGACTCCTGCTGGGACTCTGAGGAGCACAGGGACTGGTCTCCTGCTGGGACTGAGGAGCACAGGGACTGGCCTCCTGCTAAGACTCTGAGGAGCACAGGGACTGGCCTCCTGCTGGGACTCTGAGCAGCACAGGGACTGGACTCCTGCTGGGACTCTGAGGAGCACAGGGACTGGTCTCCTGCTGGGACTCTGAGGAGCACAGGGACTGGTCTCCTGCTGGGACTCTGAGGAGCACAGGGACTGGTCTCCTGCTGGGACTCTGAGGAGCACAGGGACTGGCCTCCTGCTGAGATTCTGAGGAGCACAGGGACTGGCCTCCTGCTGGGACTCTGAGGAGCACAGGGACTGGCCTCCTGCTGGGACTGAGGAGCACAGGGACTGGCCTCCTGCTGGGACTCTGAGGAGCACAGGGACTGGCCTCCTGCTGGGACTCTGAGGAGCACAGGGACTGGCCTCCTGCTGGGACTCTGAGGAGCACAGGGACTGGCCTCCTGCTGGGACTCTGAGGAGCACAGGGACTGGTCTCCTGCTGGTCCCAGAGTCAGGACTAAACATGGGGAGGCAGTGTTTCAGATTTATGCAGCTAAAAACAGTCTTCCAGAAAACGTGAGACGGGCAATATTCAAATCCAGGTTAAAAACAGATTTAATCCTGACTTTCTGATTTAAAGCCTTGTCTTGTGAGTTGCCGTGTGTGGACTGTGCTATACCAATAACCTTGCCTAATGCTAAAGGGTTATGAACATATGACATCAGTGACTTTTCCGCGTGGCCTCGCACCAGCATTTTTGTGTTACAATTTGAGTAAACTTCTGAACCATCAAACGACAGAATAAAAATAACATATGTACATGTAGATACGGATACAGGTGTAAAAAATAAAAGAATACAGAATACATACAGGTGAACAGAACCATGAACAGAACCATGAACAGAACCATGAACAGAACCATGAACACGCTCAGAGCAGAGGAGTCATTCTGTGTCCGTCCTAAAAACAACAAAGTTCACAATCTGGTCCCAAAGAGTTCCATCCACATGGACGGCGTGCTCCGGTGTCTGGCCGTGACTGCCCTTCCTCTGATTGGCTGCGTCCGTCCTGAGAAAAGGTACTTGTAGAAGAAGAAAGCAGTTTGTTGCTGGGGGACGTGAATGCTTCTCGGGCACAAGACGCCATTTTGTGTCCACGGAAATCACAGTTGCATCTTTTTGTTTTCCCCCCGTTTGGATTGAATGGTATAGACCAGGTGAGAGACCAGGTGAGAGACCAGGGGAGAGACCAGGTGAGAGACCAGGGGAGAGACCAGGGGAGAGACCAGGTGAGAGACCAGGGGAGAGACCAGGGGAGAGACCAGGGGAGAGACCAGGTGAGAGACCAGGGGAGAGACCAGGGGAGAGACCAGGTGAGAGACCAGGGGAGAGACCAGGGGAGAGACCAGGTGAGAGACCAGGGGAGAGACCAGGGGAGAGACCAGGTGAGAGACCAGGTGAGAGACCAGGGGAGAGACCAGGGGAGAGACCAGGGGAGAGACCAGGGGAGAGATCAGGTGAGAGACCAGGTGAGAGACCAGGGGAGAGACCAGGGGAGAGACCAGGTGAGAGACCAGGGGAGAGACCAGGGGAGAGACCAGGAGAGAGACCAGGTGAGAGACCAGGTGAGAGACCAGGTGAGAGACCAGGTGAGAGACCAGGGGAGAGACCAGGGGAGAGACCAGGTGAGAGACCAGGTGAGAGACCAGGTGAGAGACCAGGTGAGAGACCAGGGGAGAGACCAGGGGAGAGACCAGGGGAGAGACCAGGTGAGAGACCAGGTGAGAGACCAGGTGAGAGACCAGGTGAGAGACCAGGGGAGAGACCAGGGGAGAGACCAGGTGAGAGACCAGGGGAGAGACCAGGGGAGACAGGACCAGGGGAGACAGGACCAGGGGAGACAGGACCAGGGCAGGTTGAGAAGCTAGTAGCAGATCTTGTGTTTCTAATCTGGTGAAAGTGTAAAACAGCCGGAACAATCAGTTGTGTCCCTAGGGTGCTGTGGCGAGGGCGGGGTGGGGTCCTTAGGGTGCTGTGGCAGGGCAGGTGAGGTCCTCAGGGTGCTGTGGCGAGGGCGGGGTGGGGTCCTTTGGGTGCTGTGTGGAGCAGGGTGGGGTCCTTTGGGTGCTGTGGCGGGGCGGGGTGGGGTCCCTAGGGCGCGGTGGTGATTGCGTTCAGGTCTTTCATGAGGCCCTCCAGGTGGGCCATCTCCTCCGTCAGCTCGTCGGGTTCGTAGCTCTGCGGGAGAGGCACAGGAGGGGGGGCGTTACTGCGCGAGGCGGAGGAGGGCGTCAGGGAGGCCAGGACCTGCAGGAGAGCCAGGGGGGAAGAGGGGGGAGAGGGGGAGAGGGGGGAGAGCAAGCCCAGGTCAGTCAGGTTAGGAGGGCAGGGGGAGGGGCTGATGCTGAGGCAAAGACTGCAGCTGATGTCCTGTACCTGTGATACCTGGACCTGGGGTAAGTCTGGGGTAGACCTGAGGCTGGATTATGGCGTTAATAATCTGGTTTATCGACGCCTCTTTATGCTGCCTTTACCTTTTTACTCTAACGACTTCTCTGCACCTGGAGCCAAAGAGATTCCTAGTTTGTGACTTCCTGTGACCTCCTGTGACCTCCTGTGACCTCCTGTGACCTCCTGTGACCTCCTGTGACCTACGATGGCAATAAAAAACATCTGGTTCTGGACCGGGTCTTGCTTTTTTATTAACCAAAAAATATAGAGAAGTATAGAGTTGTTCTATACTTTATATTAACCTCATTCTTCTGTTCTTTAACTGGTAATACAACACTGACATTTCCCTTGCACTTTACAGCTTCCGAACTAAAGACCTGCTGAGCTTTGGAGACCAGACCAGGCCAAGTCCAGAATTATGATCACATGGTCAGGCAGTGGCCCCGACTTGGCCCCGACTTAGCCCCGACTTAGCCCCGACTTAGCCCCGACTTAGCCCCGACTTAGTCCCGACTTAGCCCCGACTTAGCCCCGACTTAGCCCCGACTTAGGCCCGACTTAGCCCCGACTTAGCCCCGACTCAGCCCCGACTTAGCCCCGACTTAGCCCCGACTTAGTCCCGACTTAGTCCCGACTTAGCCCCGACTTAGCCCCGACTTAGTCCCGACTTAGCCCCGACTTAGCCCCGACTTGGCCCCGACTTGGTCCCGACTTGGCCCCGACTTGGCCCCGACTTGGCCCCGACTTGGCCCCGACTTGGCCCCGACTTGGCCCCGACTTAGCCCCGACTTAGCCCCGACTTAGCCCCGACTTAGCCCCGACTTAGTCCCGACTTAGCCCCGACTTATGTGTTTTATAACCTCATTCTAGCTCATACATTTAGCTCGTTTGCTAGCACTGCCCTTGTCACCCTAGAAATAAACGCTTCCCATTGAAAGTCCACGTCTTTGCAGCAGGAACAGCCCCTTACTGTATGAATGAAATGAGAATGGGTCAAAGAAACTGAATCCAAAAGAAAAAAGCAGCCGGAAAAACATCCAGAAAAGCATTCCAAATAAACGAAACAAAAAACCAACAAAATCATTCCAGGTGTTTTTGAAAAGTTATTGATTAAAAGACAAACATGCGCCGACAGAAGCGACAGAAGCAGATGGAAAAGAGGAGAAACAGAGAGACAGAGTTAACGGCGGCGTCCGGACGGTTCCTGTGAGCGTGAGGTCAGAGGAGCACGTCGATGTTCAGGAAGACGTGTCCGAGACTCACACTGTCCACGTCCTCCAACATCCGGCTGGTCTCCGGGACGTCCGGGGCGTTGGGCACCGTCACGATCATCGGGGTCCGCGTCCGGCCCAGGGTCCCGATGGAGGCCGTCTTCACCACGTGGGGGTGGCTGGGAGCGCCTGGGGGGGCAGGGGGAGGCCGTCAGGAGAAGTGTAAACGAAAAGGTGCACTTTCATTAAAGTCATTTTAAGTCAAGTTTTTAAGTGTGTGTCCTGCGTCTACAGCCTCAGTCCTGGGTCTACAGCCTCAGTCCTGGGTCTACAGCCTCAGTCCTGGGTCTACAGCCTCAGTCCTGGGTCTACAAGTCTCAGTCCTGGGTCTACAGCCTCAGTCCTGGGTCTACAGCCTCAGTCCTGGGTCTAGAGCCTCAGTCCTGGGTCTACAGCCCCAGTCCTGGGTCTACAGCCCCAGTCCTGGGTCTACAGCCTCAGTCCTGGGTCTACAGTCTCAGTCCTGGGTCTACAGCCTCAGTCCTGGGTCTAGAGCCTCAGTCCTGGGTCTACAGCCCCAGTCCTGGGTCTACAGCCTCAGTCCTGGGTCTACAGTCTCAGTCCTGGGTCTATAATCATATCATACTTGAGCCCGGGCGCATGCGCACGCAGCGAACAGCAGTTCTGAGAAGCTGGACTAGTCTTTCAACTTTTTAACTTCTGAATGTTTGTTTATGTATTTTTTTTTTTACGTGCTAAGTGCTCCATACACAACATGGATCTACGCCTTATCCTGCCTGTCGCTTTGTGGATTTTAATCTGTGGATTTCTTATTAGCGACGTTACTTGTGCTATTGGTGAGGCTAGGCTACAGTACACCCGGGATGTGTTGCTGCAGCTGAAGTCTGTTTGCGTGACAGATTTTGCGCCTAACCTACCTGACTTTATCAGAAGAGACTTTATTGAATCAAGGCAAGTTGAACGTGAAGGGAAGAAGAAAAAGAAGCGAGGAAAATGCGGAGGCGTACGAGAGCGTCTTAAAAAGCAGCGGGTGACCCGGCTTCCTCTGCCTTCGGTTATTCTTGGGAATGTACAATCCTTAAAGAATAAGCTTGAGGAACTTCAGGGAAACATCCGTTTCCAGAAGGACTTCAAAGAATGCTGTGTCCTTACCTTTACGGAAACATGGCTTACTGACCGGGACCGGGATGGAGATCTGCGCATTGATGGGTTTGGTACCCCTTATCGCCTGGATCGAGACGCTGATGTGACGGGGAAGACGCAAGGCGGCGGGGTATGTTTTTACTTAAATGAACGATATTGTAAGTCTGTGACTGTTAGAGAGCAAGTGTGCACACCGGACGTTGAACTCTTATCCGTGTCTTTTCGCCCATATTACTTGCCGCGTGAATTCCCACAGCTCTTCTTTACGGTGGTATACGCGCATCCAAAAGCTAATGCTGCCCTTGCCACCAATGTAATCTACGACGCTGTGCAAAAGCTTCAGTCAATCTCACCCGATGCGCCCAATTTTATACTGGGAGACTTCAATCATATCTGCCTCAAAAAGTCCCTAATGAACTTTCACCAGTACATCACCTGCCCCACGAGGCGGGGGAAATCTTTGGATCTTTGTTATGGATCAGTGAAGGGCGCGTATAAGGCAGTACCTCTCCCTCCACTGGGCTTATCAGACCATAACTGTGTCCATCTAATGCCCATATACAAGACTGTTCTTAAGAGGGAGAAGGTCAAGACTAAAGAAATAAAAACTTGGACTGAGGAATCTACCTTATGTCTACAGGAATGCTACGACTGCACAGACTGGAATGTATTTAAAGACAGTTGTGGAGATGATTTGGATGAACTGACGGATGTAGTGTGTTCATATATGGTTTTCTGTAGAGACATGATTGTGCCATCTAAACAGATCAAATTATACCCGAATAACCAGCCTTGGGTAAATAAATCTATGAAATCCTGTATACAGGAAAAAAGGCGAGCTTTTAAGCAGGGATCAGCCATGGAACTTTACAACGTTAGTAAATCGCTAAAATGTGAAATTTTAAGAGCCAAAAAAAGCTATAAAAATGAGTTGGAGAAAAAGATGGCTGACAACAGACTGGGCTCCTTTTGGTGTAGCATGAAAACCTTGACTGGTCTTCACAAGGAAGGAAGTTGTCAGGTGCTCCTTGAAGGTTTTAAATCCAATATACATTTGGCAAATGCATTTAATGATCTTTATTCTCGCTTTGAAACCTCAGATTTTATGAATGAGGTTCAGGAACTTAAAAATAACTTGAAAAATAATCAACATTTCGAGATTTCACAAAAACAAGTGGAAAAGGTCTTTAAGTCGACCAAAGTTAACAAGAGTTGGGGTCCTGATAACATCTGCGGCATTGTAGGCTGGGTTCTTGACTTTTTAACTAAAAGAAGACAAAGAGTGAGAGTCAATGGTGAACTCTCTGATCAGTGCACTGTTTTGACAGGCTCACCCCAAGGTTCTGTTCTCTCACCCCTGTTGTTTATATTGTACACTAGCATGTGTCAGAGTGATCATGAAAACAGAATCATCTTAAAATACGCAGATGACTCAGTTATTGTAAGTCTACTTCACAAAAATGAAAGTCAGCATGGCCCAGTTGTTGAGGATTTTGTCAAATGGTGTGATGAGTCTTATCTTCTCTTGAATGTTGCAAAAACAAAAGATATGATCATCGACTTTAGGAAGAGCACTCTCCCACATGTTGTAACATATATAAAGGGACAACAAGTGGAGTGTGTGGAGTCCTACAAGTATCTTGGAACAATTATTGACTGCAAACTGAATTTTAATGAAAACTGTGCTTCTGTTTGTAAAAAGGGCCACCAACGACTGTATTGTCTTCGGAAACTGTCCTTCTTTCATGTAGATAAAACTGTGATGACACTGTTTTATCGGGCATTCATCGAATCGACCCTAGCTTTCTGCCTTGTCGCCTGGTACGGGAGCTCTTCTGTTAGAAACAAAAACGCCTTGAATCAGCTCGTCAAGTGGTCAAGTAAAGTCATTGGCCAGCCTCAGACCAGTTTGGACTTTCTGCATGATAGACAGCTAGAGAGGATGGCACGAAGCATCGCAAAAGACTCAGAGCATCCTTTGCACTCAGAGTTTCGATTGCTTCCGTCTGGGCGTCGGTTTTTGATGCCAATGAGCCACACGAACCGTTTTAAGAAAAGCTTTGTTCCCGCTGCCCTTTCCTTTATGAACAAGTCGGGATCAAACTGCCCCTGACACAGGTTTTTTATCTTTGTTACTGTCAAGTGGCTTAAATTTCAGTTGTTTTTTGTACCAAAGGCACATCCTGTTAGTATGTGGAGCACTTATAAGTTTTGTATTTTATATGTATGATGTTTTATCTTTGAAATGTGTTTTAATGTGTCGACTAGTTCTCAGAATTGCAAAACGAATTTACCCACGGGTACAAATAAATTAACCTAACCTAACCTAACTTTATGGTCTCTGTACATCAACAATGTTGCAATGCAGAGTTTTTAGTACAGTGTACGTCCAGGAAACATGTACCATGACATGTTTATGTTTGAGGGGGGTTCAGTGTTTTATGCACACTTTCATTACAATAGTCCCTGTGCCAGCCTGGTGGCGCTCGGGCCTACTAATGTAAAACAAACATTATATAAATCATGCTATACTTCCGGTAAGAGCGTGTAGACCAATCAGAAAGGAAGGGGGAGGGAGCTTGGGTTGTTTTTGTTCAAATCAAGTACCTCTCTGTCTCTCTTTCTGACAAACTCTAGACAATCACTTTAAAGAACAAATTTACAATATTGCACAACACCTGGATTCGAAGTTAAAACATAGCTCCATGACAAACAGATGCCCTTTCATGGGTTTGCACGTGTGTGAGCATTTGTGCTTCTCCGCCATGTTTAAAACAGGTTACACACGTGAGCGTGTTCCCCTGCTTCAGCACTGGAGCATGATTCCCATCACTGACAATAGTCGGATGCAACTGAAAGCAGACATAAACATCCATTTGTGCACACTCAGAAACACAAATATCTTGGAACATCATCCAATAACTATGGTCAGTGACTTCTGTAACTGTGATAGGAAACATCGTGAGCTACATCACATAATTGCCTAACTAATTCTCCACTGTTCTTGGAAAACATGTAAAGAGTTATGTTTTTCTCCTTATTACCATTTTAACGATGCAAAATGACTTGGGCAATATTATATTGTATATATTATACTATGTACCTATTATACTATGTACCTGACATGTCGATGGCACATGGACTCTTAGAAGAAACCCATACGAATTGCTTTCTCTGCAATGTATTAGTTCACTTCTTAAAAAACATTTCTAGTCGGGGTGATGTGCATTTATTCATTGATACACTGTAACTGGAGGGACGGCCTAAAAATAAATAAAACACGTTGTTGGTTGACACTTACTGTTTGCGTACGGTCTGCCATGTCTTCTCTTCAACGGATATACTTGCAGAAGTTCAAGTGGATTCAAAATTCATGTAGTAGGCGTGTCGGGTAGTGACGTCACTACCCGACACGCCTACTACTCGACACGCCTCCGTACTGCAAGCCGCAGACAGACCCTTCTCGTCTGTCTGCGATATTTGTGTTTCTGAGTGTGCACAAATGGATGTTTATGTCTGCTTTCAGTTGCATCCGACTATTGTCAGTGATGGGAATCATGCTCCAGTGCTGAAGCAGGGGAACACGCTCACGTGTGTAACCTGTTTTAAACATGGCGGAGAAGCACAAATGCTCACACACGTGCAAACCCATGAAAGGGCATCTGTTTGTCATGGAGGTATGTTTTAACTTCGAATCCAGGTGTTGTGCAATATTGTAAAATTGTTCTTTAAAGTGATTGTCTAGAGCAGTGTCTCCCAAAGTGGGGTCCGCGGCCCCCTGGTGGGCCGCGTGGGTACTGCAGGGGGGCCGCGGGAGGTCATAAAAAAAATAATATAATTATTTAATGTTAAATTTATAATGTTTTGTTTGTAATATTAAAATATTTGTGTTCATTATTTGACTTGAATAAGCCACTGTAATCATTTTTGTATTACAATGTTTGTAGCAGAGGCTATTTCCCCAAAATAAAATAACCAGAAGAGCCTATTCTTAATGTTGTCTTCTTGGTTATTATTTTGGGGGGCCACGCAGACCCGTCAGATTTTTAAGGGGGCCTCGGTGTTACTGAGTTTGGGAATGGCTGGTCTAGAGTTTGTCAGAAAGAGAGACAGAGAGGTACTTGATTTGAAAAAAAAAACAACCCAAGCTCCTCCCCCTTCCTTTCTGATTGGTCTACACGCTCTTACCGGAAGTATAGCATGCGCCTCGCTCAGTCTTTGTCTAGCGTCTGACGAGGTGGGTCACGTTTTTACACTCTGCATGATTTCGGTTTTAAATGTTATTTATGTTGTTACTGAAGCCAATAATTCCCTTTGGCTGGCGTGTCCACAATTTGATACAGAAATCAGACAAAAAGATTCTCAAAGGTTAACATCTGCATTTAATTATCTTTACAATCAGATACAGAAATCAACAAAAGAGTGCTCCTATAACTAATATGTCCCTCTCCTGGCCCTCGGCTGATCCTGCTGTGTCTCCCCAAACCAGAGCATATATAAAAAAACAGGAAGGAGGGGAGTGTCCTATCAGCCAGCTTCCGGTCTAGGGTCCAGCCTTTTCCTCCGTCTGCCAGACTCCTGATGGAGTGAGGTTGAAAAGTGCAGAAGTCAGCAGGCCAAGACTAGGGGGTTGAAATCCAAACAGGGGAATCCATCTGTTGTCCAGTTGCTGGCACAAGAAGACACCTAAAATAAAATAAGAAGGACTGGCCTCCCACTTAGAGGTTAGCTAGGTCATAAAACACATGGTTTTAGAATGTCACGTATTTATAAATACAACAGTTTCCCTCTTTTGACCTGATTAAAAATTAGGTCACAATCCACATCGTCGTTTATCATCAATACTTGTGCTTAGTTCCGGCTTGATATCTGTGAAGAGTTAATACAGAGAGAATACACACACAACAACATTCGAAACATTCCTTCACAAAACTCTTTGATGACCACTGCTGTCATTCTGATTCTTCTTCAACCTCGTCTGTAATGTATGCACTAAAACTATTCACTATAGTTTAAACTATTCTAATCTATTTACAAATATGTTTGCATCTTTGCTTTTATTGAGCCATATTCTTAAACATATGTTTTTATCTAATAAATCTATCTATACTGGTGGTTTGCTTTCATTATCAGTGGCTTTGGGCCATTTTGTGGGGCTTTGCTCATTTTTCCAAACACATTTTGTTGAACCAGGAAGTGCTGTCACTTCCTCCTCTCAGACCGTTTGGGATAAATGTACATCGTTAATCAAATTGGTATTATCCTTACAAGAGCTAATCTCTTTTAGCAGGTTTTTGGGGTCAGTTACTCTACCATGGTATTCGATTTTCTAATCCATATTGACAAGTCGACAGCTCTTAAAATTCTCAAAAAATACCTAAATATCTACTT